TGAGAGTTTATCCTGACAAGACCGGTAGTGGTGTATTGCAAAAATGGTGGAACAACTTGTTTTAGTTGTTGGGGTTAGACCCTATGTATAGTTAGTGGGTGTTTGTAAGAAATACTGAACATGGACCAATTTCTACTTGTTCCTTGGACCTTAGAAACAAATAAATACAACTAGAAAGTTGCACTTAACCCCGAATTTGATAATGATATTATACTAGGTTTTGGACCAGATTACTTTTGATATACCAACTAGTGAGATCCTCTTAGGGTCAAATACTTGGGTATGTTGGAGTAGTTCAAAAATAGATGCTATTTGAGTGGGTATCAATGTGATAAGATCATCCCCTTTTTTAGGCAAAGAGAATAACATGGTTAACACTCTCTCTGATAGAAATCTAAAACTATCGGTAGTGGATTTCAAGTGATTTTTAAATTACCATGCAAAATATATTTATATGTATAGTATGTTATTTTATGAAAAAAAGTTTGTAAAAGGTTTTAATCTTGGGATCCATCTAAGTAGAGAGTGTGACACTACACTTAACAATTAGGGAAGAGGTCATTTCCTATGAGTAGTGTTTAGTTATTTTGAGTTGAAAGGTTAAGAGAAAAAGACCATTAAAGGGCTAAAACCTAATGGGTTTTTTCTTATGTTAATCTATTATCCTTGGGCTTCATAGGGTGGTTAAAACCAATGATCAATTGGAATTAAGTGTTGAGCCCATATTGACTAGGTTTATTCAATGAATTCGGCCTGTGTGCTTTCTAGTATGGGCCATACCCAATGGACTAATAAGGCTTGCAACAATTATATTAATGTACCACTTAAGTAATGGGCCTTAGCCCATTAGCTAGTAAGACTAGTCACATCACAACTTGAGTTGTCACGTGCATTGGGTTGAATATGGGTATGGATCTCTATAATAACTAATATAACTAGAGGCCTAACCAAATTATATCTGGATAGTCCTAATTACATTAGAATTGGGATCTTTGTAAAAGCAATAAGAGGTAGAGATCAACATATACTAGTGCACCTTTTTCTTGCACCTTGTTCTCCACTCTCTTTCTACCCAACAACCTTAGTTTGATCTACTCTTTGAGGTAAAGTTTTCTCTTCTTCTTTGTTGTGTTTCCTCTGCAAAATATTAGAGAAGGTAAGTGGTTAACAACTGCACATATCCAAGCAAGTTAGAAAAACAAATCAACTAAGATTAGTTGCAAGATCAACCTCTTTAGATCAATTGTGCCATCTTCAGTTAGGAAGGCAATTTAAGCTTGAATTTTGGGCGTGAACCACCACTCTGAGAGCTGCACTCTGTGATCTCTATAACTAGTATGCTCATATTTAATTTGAAAACAAATATGGTTTATGATAGCTATAAATATATAACTCTAGCAAGTAAACTAGTTATCAAGTAATATAATAATATCGTTCCCACGGGGATTTAACAAAATAAGTATTAGAATCACAGTCTTCCCTAATTATTTGGACAGTCGAAATTTAGATTTAA